AAATGAAAATATCTAAGATTTTAGTTTAAAAAAAAATTTTGTTGATTTGTTGATTTTTGAAAAAGTTATGGAAGTTTTAAGAAAAACAAGTGAAAAAAATGAAAAAATTTACTGATTTTTAAAATTGTAATTTTTTTCGATATTTCCCCCATTTGCGGGGAACGAAGGAAAATTTTTTAATTTTTAACGGCAATGTCTTCAACTAGATACTATTGTTGAAAGAAATCGGTTCAGTGAGAGCAGAGAAAAAGTAGTGACAGACAAAAAAAAAAAAAATAAACCCAACATGGTAAAATTAATACCTTCTCAGCTTCGCATCGAAGCTAAAAATTGAATAGTAAATAAAATTTACTAAAAATTTCCTTTAAACACAAATTAAAAGTCACAAAATACATATGTGCAGAAATAAACTCCATTATCAAAAACGTGGAAAAAAAAATTTCAAAATCCGAGTTCGCTAAATAATTTTTCCAGAAAAGCGTTTTTTTCCTTGTTGTATTATATAATAAGACTCGTACATGTGTTATTGACATACAGAAAAATCGTTATTTTTTGTTAAAATTTAATGAATTTGATTGGTTTTGGTGGGATCTCGGATTTTCGGATATTTGGCGCTTCCTCAACACGTACAGAACGCAGTTGTATGATTTTAAATCTTAAAAAAAATGGTTTTCATGTCTTTAAGTGTTGCAAGAATTTCGAGCGGCGCGCCCTGGCGTCTCGATTGTGTGAAAAAAAAAAGCTCGTAAAACTGTGAAAAATGAACAGTTTGAATTCCTTTTTTTAACTTATCTCAGTAATGTCATTGGGCGGATCTGATGAAAATTTCAAACCTTAAGTCGTAAAAAGCTGGCGTCAGCAAGCGTTTTTCTCGAAAATGGCCAAAATTTTAAAACGCTCGCGGGCGATTGGCAAACATTTTCCGACCTTCGTCAATAATTTTCCTGGAGTCTGGTGACCAAATACTTTCGTTTGAAAAAAAAAATTTTGAAAATCCGAGCACGCTAAGTAATTTTTCAGGAAAAGCGTTTTTTCCTTGTTCTATTATATAATAAGATAACGATAGGTCAAAATGGACCACTTGAAATAAGACTGATCGATGTTTTGTGGGTTGATGATTGCCATATATTGAAATATATGATGATCCGGTGAGAAGTGTATACTTATATACTCTGAGCATAAGTCCGTCAATATGCGCAAGCGTGAATACGCTACCCCTACCCGAGTACACGTCTTCCTCATCTCAAATTCGTCATTAACCTCTTCTACAATGTCCATGTTGAATATCAACGCCCTAGCCAGTGTCTTGAAGGCACGGTCCTCGGGTCGTGCTTCCGATCGCGGTTTATGGTATGATATAATTTGAGATTATATTTAATCGGCCGAACAGCTGTGATTTCACCGAGTTTGGCAACCAGCTCGGATTTAACAGCACGCAGAAAATCTCGATATTCGCGAATTTTCCACGTTTTTCTGATAAAACCAAATGGCTCCTCGCGGAATCAATCTTGATGAAATCTTTGCATCCGGCGATTGTATACGTAACCTTTTCGATTTTACTCTACTAATGTTAGTCCTACGTTTAACCGAATGGTGGTGTGGAACAGTCGCGGAAGAGGTGGCTATGAAAATGTGTGCATAAAACAATTTTTGATACAAGTGTCGAAAATATCGAAATATACAATCAAAAATATAATAAACTTACCTTATGCAGCATCAATATAATCATTAAAATATATGTTCCAGCAATTATTATCGTCATCGTTGGCGGCGGTAAAAGTGTTTATTTAAGAATGTGTTTTGCTACAAGAAAACTTGAACAGTCGTCATTATTATACAGGGTGTAAATCTTTCGAACCATAGTATTGTATGGGCGAGTATCCTGGTAAAGTGTAAAATAGGACCTCGTTTTTTTTTTTATTTTCCAAAATTGGAGAAATTTTGGAATAACTCCCCCGAATTTCTCTAAAATTAAAAATAAATCATACCACAATATTTCCCGCAAAATTCTCATACAAATTGAATGGTCACTCGATTTTTTGTAATTTTTGCGCCCTACCCTGAACTTTCAAAGTTGGAAAAAAAAATTCACATTAGTGTAACCCATCAATTTGTATTGAAATTTCACTGGAAGTCCTGTGATGTAGTTTATTTTTAGTATAAATGATTAAATAACAAGAAAAACCGAAAAACCTACAAATAATGTAATATTTATGCATTTTTATTGTACAAAAAAAGAAGCTATATTTTAAAGGTTATCTAATATCATGTGCAACTTAATAAGTGACTATTCAATAGTGAACAGTATTTTTGGAACATTTAAATAAACATTAACAAGCTCAGTGATGTACCATATTCTCATTATTGATTAATTTCGGAAAATAGTAGTGTGCCGATTACATTAAAATAATTATTTCTAATTATCCTATTGTAATAAAGTTAAAAATATTCATTTCAATATTATAATTGTTTTATTTTCCCGACCTAAAAAGAAAAAAATTATAATTTTATAACAGTTTCAATGATAAAAATTATAATCGGTTTGAATAAATAATAAAAGACGAAATAAACTCATGAAATTAAAAAAATATCACATTATTTGTGGGTTTTTCGGTCTTTCTTGTTATTTAATCGATTAAACTAAAAATAAACTACATCACAGGACTCCCAGTGAAATTTCAATACAAATTGATGGGTCACACTAATGTGAAATTTTTTTCCAACTTTGAACCCAAAGTTCAGGGGAGGGCGCAAAAATTACAAAAAATCGAGTGACCATTCAATTTGTATGAGAATTTTGCGGGAAATATTGTGGTATGATTTATTTTTAATTTTAGAGAAATTCGGGGGGGTTATTCTAAAATTTCTCCAATTTTGGAAAAAAAAAAAAAAAAAAGAGGTCCTATTTTACACTTTACCAGGATACTCGCCCATACTTTACTATGGTTCGAAAGATTTACACCCTGTATATTGTCGACAAAAAAAAAAAATACTAATTTATTATTCACTATACCAAAAACGGTCAAGCTTATAGCTCATATATTAAAAATTAATGTAATTGACGATGATATCACCACTGCCGTCGCGTTGAGCTATCTGTTGTATTAATCTCGAGTGCTATAGTATAAAATACAATCATCAATACAGCCATCTGGTCCACAATGTTTCGAACAAATTTGTTTACAAAATAGGTAAAATTAACATATTACGAACGGACTACATCTAAATATGTGCATGGCACATATCAAAATAGCGGATTAAATGTTTAAAATACGTACATTTTTCACTGTAACCGTACAGCTTACCTTTTTTTTTTTTTTCTCGACCGGCATAAGTGCGAACCACCCTGGAACTACCGTTAGATATTACTTCGGGGCGGTCCACGCCGTCTCTAAAACTCACACTATCACGTTAGCCGGATCCCGAAGTGGGATCCGTTGCCCGGGTTGCAACACGTTGAGGTGGGGGCAGGACTTTGCGAGGGGGGCAAATAATTCACAAAAACATAAACACGAATACCTAAGGCGTCACCCTAAACCAGCGCCACAGGTCCTCCTGTGCCGAACGGCGTGGCTGTCTCTCTCTCAGTCGTTCCGCTTCCTCCTTCTTTAATAAGACGGATTCGGCGAACGCCTGGACAAGCCTCCACACCTCCCGTCTCCTCAACATCAGGTCCACCATGGACCCGACTCGGAACGTGGACCCTAGTGGAGACTCCAAAGAGTCCCTTTCCTGGGCCCACGCCTCGCACCGGTAGAGGGTGTGCAGAGCGCTATCAGCCTCTCCCGGGCGATCCGAATAATGGTCGTACGTCGACGGGGCTGCTCTACGAATACGGTGTAAGTACTTATTAAAGCAGCCGTGACCGGACATCACTTGGGTGAGACGATAAGTCATCTCACCGTGAGTCCGGTCCACCCACCTGTCCAGCCGATCGGGTCCTATGAGGGATAACTCTCATGAGGCCTCTCGTCCGCCACCGGAGCATGGTTATCCGCCTAAGCGCCAGCCGATCTTCGTTTTCGAGAGACCAGCCACATTCTTGGCGGAACTTATGCCTGGCGGTGCGTTCCTCGGCGAGCAGGTCGGCGGGCGACAGTGACGACAGAATACCCGCCGCCACTCCGGATACCGTTCGATAAGCCGAAACTGTTCGGATCACCGCCCACGAGCCGTGGAGGAGTGAACTTGTACCTGCCCGTGAACAAGACCACTTCGGTCTTGTCTAGGGCAAGGCTCAGTCCACTCCCCTCCTGCTGGATCCAGGCGGTAAGTGCGCTGAGCGCGCAGTTCGCACGAGATCCAGCCTTCTCAGACGAGGCGCCTTCCACCACCACCAGTGTGTCGTCCGCGTAGCAGACGACGCGCACGAGCGGTGGTAGTGGAACGCGGAACACCGCGTCGTACGCGATGTTCTAACATACAGCAAACCTGAAAAACGCAATTTTTTTCGACATAATTAAGGCGCGCGACAAGTTGTGTTAGTTTACGTCGTGTTTCATCTCTACCCCCCCACCTGTAGTTTAGTTTAAATTAAGTTTCATTATCTCTCACTCTTAAGACTTGGTGGAGAAGGAGAGTACAAACATTAAAACCCGTAGTTTTAATGTTTGTATATAGTTCTTTAATATCAAATCTTTTTTATTTAAATTCATTTTAAATATTTTACTAATTAAAAATTTGTATTTCTAATCAGCATAATTTTTAAATGTTGAATTTTTTAGTGTCAAACTATTGTAGTTAAAGATTTATTTAACAGTTGTATGTTCATGTAAAGTTCAATCATTTTTCAAAATTAATCTTTTTATATTTTCATTTTCAACAAAATGGTATGATAAATGCGTATATTTTTTAAAAATTACAATATCATATAAAATATCAATTTATATTTAATATAAACGCTTTAAATATTAAGTTCAATACTAAAATTGTGTAGATATTTTAGTTTAAATAATTTTAAAATATATAAGTGAAACTGAAAATGGTTATGGTACTGAATTATACAGTTGGGTTAGAATATAAAAATTTTAGATAATCCACAAATAATTTACCTTTTTGAAGAAAATCATAAAAAACTGGTATTGAAGCCGGAGTGTTTTTGGATTCAATGTCCGTTTCTAAATATAAGTAATTAGAGAAATATATTAATGATTAAATAGTTTCAGTTCTTTATTCACTGTTATTAAAAAAACATATATTTTAACAAAAAATTATATCAAATAATTTATTGTCGAGTATAAAATGAAAGAATTCAAAATTGTGAGTATCTTATATTTGTTTGAATCTTTTAATTATTATTAAGGAAATTTAAATTAATAACATCATTATTCCTCCTGGAAGAAGGAAAAAAAATAATTTTTGCATGATAACTATTGATAATCAATTTATTCATAGAATAATTTTAATTCTACCTATTTTAGCTAATTATTTCTTTTTGATATGTTTTTGTTTTTTGTAAAAACAATAAACGATTTTTCGTCTGATATCACTAATAAAAACGCTTTAAATATTTAGTTCAATACTAAAATTGTGTAGATGTTTTAGTTTAAATAATTTTAAAATATATGTAGCGAGGTGTAATATATAGAAGTAATAAACACTTTTACGATTTAATAACAACTATACTATATTACAACGAACTAACAAATAACAGCGAGAGACGAAGCGCGTTTAAGACAGAGTGCGTAAGTGATTGACTGATCGATTGATTGACTGGAGCGACGATCTTGCCCTTAAATAGTCAGAGGAATCTTCTAGAGGCGGCGGCGGAACTCTCTAGAACATTCGACCGCCACGCGCTTATGTAGAGCGACGAATCTTCTAGAGGCGGCGGCGGCCGAACATTCTAGAACATTCGACCGCCACATATATAAGTGAAACTGAATATGGTTATGGTATTGAATTATACAGTTGGTTTGAAGATAAAAATTTTAGATAATTATCAAATAATTTACCTTTTTGTAGAAAATCATAAAAAACTGGTGTTGTAGCTGGAATATTTTTGGATTCATTGTTCGTTTCTAAAAAAAAGTAATTAAAAAAATATATTACTGATTAAATTAATTCAGTTCTTTATTCACAGTTATTAAAAAAACATATATTTTAACTAAATAATGTGAACTCTTTGGTATTTGTACGTTTGTTATTAGAATTTTTTGATATTTTTTTGTTCTTCGTAAAAAAAATGAACAATTTTTCGTCTGATATCAATATCATTTGTGTATAAAATTTTGGCCCCTATAGAACCCCATTATATACAAATAATTTAATATTTCATTTACTTTATTTGTGTAAAAAAACGAAACAAATTATTAACAAAATTTCGTGTTAGCTCGACACCCAATCACAGGTAACTTAAGGTAGGGAATAAAAAAGTTGCAGGCAATATTTAAAAAGAGCATCAGTACGAGAACTAGAGTGAAAAACATGTATCAAAAAAGACGTTACATTGTAGGCGAACGGACTGGGAGTAGAGTTACGCGTTCCTATGCCGTATACATACAAGAGACCAAACTACGCAGTTATGTTGAGTTGAAGCTGAACACTTGCCGTTATAAGCAGACGATTCTCTAGATTTCTAATAAAGTTCTGTTGCTTTGATTGATCTTTATGGTAGTAAAGAACATAGAGTGAAATCATCAGGAGTTCTATTATTCAAATAAGGAAACATGTCACCCAAAATAGAAATGTCAATACATGTCAGTTGATCAAATTGTGGGATGGCTAATAACAAATTTTAACGTTATTATTAATATAATAAATAACTCTTTGTAACTGAAAATCGAATTCGCTGTAAAATGAGACACAAATGTACAAGAGGTTGCAAGTGGGATTTTTGTGGGCCTGTATCACCACGTAGTTTGCAACTTGCATAACGACTAGCTATGGTAGCAAGGGTCGCCACCACCTTGGCGAAGTGTCAAACCTAACAGATATGATTATCGGACCATAGATGGAATTTAATTTTAAGTTAATTAATAGTTTAATTTAACTATTCAGCACTTTTTCCTCGAATATCAATTTTACGACCATAATTCTGTCATTTTTGCTAGATACTTCTACTACTGTACTTTTCTTCCCCTCATCAATTATTATCCCTACACAATTCTTTGTACTCTTTGTCACCTCTTACTCTTTAAGTTAATGTATCATTTTATGTATAAATGATTATAATACTTCATGGTTTATTAACCACAACTATGATAATTGAAGTTGTGATGGTTGATATGAAAAACATATCGTAGCACGTTTCCTGATTAAGGAAAAGGGATAAAATACACGCGAGTACTTAAGTTACTCGCGCAATAAAATAAATCATACAGTTAAAATTAATAAGGTAATTTAATTAAATTTAATTGTTTAAACAAAGAAAATTAAGTAAAACATAGTCAAAAATACGAGTGTATCAAAAAAAAAAGGCAACACATGCTATCCACACATAAACAAAATTAAGTTAATTTATAATAAAATAACTAATAAATACAGCTCATGACATAAATATAATTATAAAAAACAAAACAAAACGCATTCTCCGAAGAGACCCATCCAACGGTCTGGATGATTTACCGAAAAGACATGACCGTTGCTGTTGGCGGCTCTACTCCACCACTGAAAATGCAGTCATAATAAAAACAAACAAACGTGTGCAAACTAGCTCGTTCAATGACAGAAAAATGATGGAGAGCTAACACCGATCTAACGGCAATTTAAAATCGATAACAGCCAGTCTTTTTGGAAGGGATCAATACCGATAAACAATTCTAGTTTAATTATAATTATTCTCTTTAACACATAATCTAGTGGTAAAAATAATGAGTTGTTGACACCGCTGTGTCAGAAAAAGGTTCGTTCGCGAATTTTTTTGCACGATACAAAAAAATAAGTAGACATAACAAAAATTATAAACGGTCGACCTCTGAATTTGTGACGTTACAAAGTACAAACTTTTGACCAGTTGGGTTGTGAATTAGACCAACTAATTCTGTGTGACATGGACGACGCATTAGTCCAATATGCGCAACGTACTCATTAGTATATTTCGAAATTTGAGAATCTCTATCCAATATTACGTGGATCGAATGATAATTATCACCCTCATCTAAAACACTTATAACGGCTATATCAAGCACTACATTGTAATTTGTGTTGTTCAGAGTCTGATGTAGTATTAGTCGATAAAACATTAGACTTGGTATCGATGTTTAACATTATATAATGAGGGTTACTACATTGTCTAAAAGTTGACATAGACATGTCAATATGCATTGATCATATGATAAGGATTTATGCACAAAAAACATAATTTGTTTAACTTGAAAATTATATAAATATTATAGGGTTGTTATCGTTATAGAAATAAAAGTTTACAACCTAAGAATATATTAGGGATGAACATAAAAAATCTTTATGATAGAAAAAATGAGAGACACATATAACTAAAGGAAAGAAATAAAAATGTATTAATATTATTTTTACTTTTCAATTTATTAGATGGTTAGTGAAAAGTGTATCACTCTGTATATTAGATTTATTACTAAAAGTGTGTAGTTATACCAGTTAGAGAAATTAAAAAAAAAAAATATGTGATACTTTATAACTTTTGAATTACTGGTTTACTTAAGTTATTAATTATTGGTATTTAGATTAATTAGATCATTTTCTATTAAAATAGCTAGTTAATTAGGGTTATTCCTATTTGAAAAATTAAAGTTGACACCCTTATTATGAATAAGGAATGAACCTAAAAAGAACTTTATAATTAAAAAAAAAAGAGGAATATTGAACATAAAAAAAAAATTAATATCATATTTGTTTTTCGATTAATGAAGTGGTTTATGAAAAATGAATCACTCTATATATTACATTCATTGCTAAAAGTATGTAGTTATTCAAGTTAGAGAAATTAAAAAAAATACGTGACACTGGAAATGGTTATGGCACTGAGCTACACAGCTGGTTTTGAAGATAACCATTGAGATAATTAACAAATAATTTACCTTTTTGAAGAAAATCATAAAAAACTGGTATTGTAGGTGGACTATTTTTGGATTCATTGTTCGTTTCTAAATAAAAGTAATTAGAAAAATATATTAGTGATTAAATAACTTCAGTTCTTTATTTACTGTTGCCTATTTAAGAAAAACATATTTTAACTAAATAATGTAAACTTATTGGTATTTGGTCGTCTTTTATTAGAAAAAGCATAGTCACTCTTATATTTGTTTTTTTATTAACAATGATCGATTTTACTAATGATAACTGTCATTTTTGTATATAGTTTTACTATTGATATATTGATACTTGAATTAAGTGAGTTACTTATATTAAAGGCAATAATATTTTTCGCATTTTTGGCTCTTGTAAACTAGCAAAAAGTGTCTTGTTTATAAAAAAATCTTCTAATTACATAACATGGTATATAACATGTCAATAATATATCAATCTCTTAAATCGAGATTTTACATTATTTATTTAGGGAAAGTATGTATAAATTTATTTAATAAATATAAGTTTTGAATGTTTTTCCATCTCACACATTTGTTTAAATCTTTAGTATATTATTAAGTATATTCAAATAAATAAGTAATTATTTCCCTCAAACGAGACTAAATCAAAAATGTACATGTGAATAAATATTGAAAACAAATTTATTCATAGAAAATTTTTAATAAATCTACTTTAATTCCACTGATTATTGATAAATTCATTTATAGGAGTAATTTTATGATTAAAAATTATTTTAATATATCACTTATGACATATTCATATTAAGGCAAGATTAAGGAAAGAGACTTAAATTTAATTAATTTTAATATTATTGTATGTGATTAATTAGTAATACAATTCTATTTATACAAATCCAGTATAAATAGTTGATTAGTTAAATAGTTAAAAAGTAAATTATATCATAAGTTTATTCTAAAAATCTAATACCTCTTTTAATACCAAAATAAATTATTTTA